CACTTTTCTGTTATTCTTCAATAAGTATAAGCTCACTTTTCCGCGATTTTCGCCTCACATTGCCGCAATTTCAACCTAATTTTTCCATAATCTTTACTTTTGTTTTTCGTATTTATAACCTCATTTTTTCTCGATTATAACCTTGCTTTTCCGCCATTTTTACTCAACTTTTTCGCAATTAGGGAATCCAAACCACGTGACTTTTGCCAACCAGCCGGCATTTTGAAATTTTTATGAGGTTAGAATACGGGTTTTTACATGTCAACGATGTCAGAAAAGTGTCAGATTTGAGAACTCGTCCCGTGTATTGATAAAGCCTGGTACTCATAAAAGCGAAATTCGCTCTTTTTTCAATGTCAAATTGTCGATGCAATGTCAAAAAAGAGCAAATTATGAGTACTAGGCTTAATCCTGCCAAAAAAAACATATGTGTTTTGTTTATTGTTTGCCAACCAGACGCCATTTGGACAGGTCGTTGGATTGCCTAATTCCAACATTTCCAATCTTATTTTTCCGTAATTTTTACTTCTATTTTTCGTAATTCCAACGTCACTTTCCAGCAATTTTGACACTCACTTTTTCGCAATTTTTGAAAAGTTACGGAAAATTGCAGGAATTACGAAAAATTACTGGAATTATAAAAATAAAGAGAATTACAAAAATTATAGGAATTATGAAAATCACGAATTTTTGAAATTATGAAAATTACAAAACTTGGGGAGAATTTAAAAATAACGAAGTTTTTTAAAAAATTAGGAGAATTAAAAATAAGTACCAAAAATTACGGGAATTACGAAAAAATTATGATTTTTGAAGTTATGGGAAAATTACGAAAAAGTTATGGGGGAATTACGAAAATTATGAGTTTTTCGAAAATGCAATAACTAAGGAAAAATTGCCTTTTTTAAGCAAAATTCATTTTCTTACATTTTATTTTTTTTCTAGAAAACTGGCAAAAGGATAATTGTGGAAATTTTTCAGAAAAAAGAGGAAAGTGAGGATCTCATTAAAACAAAATTTTCAAAATTTTCCAGTAAAAAATCACTTCAGGAAAAATTCTGGAAAATTGACTTATTTAAGCAAAATTAAGGAAAATTCATCCTCTCACATTTCAATTTATTTCTGGAAAACTAATAAAGCAAAAGTTGTGAAATGTTTCCAAGAGAAAGAAGAAAATAAGGAGCTCATTATAGGAAAATTTCGAAATTTTGCAGTGAGAAATCACTTGGAAAATCGACTTTTTCAAGTAAAATTAAGGAAAATTCATCCTCTCACATTTTTTTTTTTTTTGGAAAACTAGCAGAAGAAAAATTTTGAAATTTTTACAGGAGAAAGAGGAAAGTGAGAAGTTCATTATATGTATGTATAAAAATTTCAAAATTTTCCAGTAAAAAATCACTCCAGAAGAAATTCTGGAAAACTAACTTTTAACCAAAATTCATTTTTTTAATTTTAAATTTTTTCTGGAAAACTGGCAGGAGGAAAATTTCAAAAATTTACAGTGAAAAATCACTCTAGGAGAAATTTTATTTATATACACTTCGCATCAAAATTAACGCACCACTAAAATTTGGCACAATTTCAAATTTAATTTTCTCGGAAACTGCTGAATCGATTTGGACATTTTTTTTTTTTAATTGTAGCTTAAATCTTCAGGAATGACTCTGTAAAACAACTTTTCATTTGAATCGAAGTTTTAGGCATATACAGGGTGTTTTAAAAGAAACCAGTTTGATGCCTAATTTTTGTCACATCCTGTGGGACTTTCCATCTGCACCAATAGATGTCTATCTAAATCAAAACATAGCCCCATCTTTTCTGAGCATTTTGTTTTCTTATTCACGTTTCTAGCTCTGTTATTTAATGAAATATGGAGTTTGAAGTTAAAAGCGTTTATTTGAGATTATTCAAGAAAAAGTTTCGGAAGTTAACAAAACAAAAACAAAATTATTGAAAAAATAATGTGGAAAAAAGAAGAAAGAAGAAGAAGAAGAAGAGTTATAACCGTCAGGTAAGTAAATCTAAGTAGGCCATGGAAAACAAAGGCGCGATATTGTCATGGAAACAGAGACTACTGTCTTTATCTGTCAGTGATTTTTGAATTTATTCTGTAATTTCTCTGCATTTGGTGTTATCATTGCAAAATATGGAGCGTCAAACAAGAAATTTAACTCGAGATGAATGTGTGATGGCGACTACATTGATCCAGGAAGGAATGGGCTACCGAGCTGTAGGTAGAAGATTGGGTGTTTCTCATTCGACAATATTGCGCATATTTCGCCGTTTTGAAGAAACCAATGACCACAACAGGCGCCGTGGACAAGGAAGAACTCGGGGAACAGCGGCTATCCATGACCGATTTTTGCAACTGAATGCGTTGAAGCAACGTTTTGTGACCTCAAGACAACTAAGGGTACAATTAAATACTGCTCACAATATCAACGTTAGTGTATCAACTGTAAGGAGACGTCCGGCAGAAAGAAATTTAAGGTTCAGAATTCCAGCAAGAGGACCAAGGTTAAATGCAGACCATATACGAGCAAGACTTCAATTTGCCAGGGAACATGTAAACTGGAATGCTGAAGATTGGGAGCGAGTTCTGTTTACAGATGAGACAAGGTTTTGTCTTTACAGCAACGACCGACGAGTAAGGGTTATTCGACGACCAAATGAACGTTACTCGCAGTGTAATATTCGCCAAACCGAGTTATTCAATGGAGGGTCTGTGATGTTTTGGGGCGGAATCTCTTTAACTGCTCGTACTGACATCGTGTCTTTGCGTGGAGGACCTTTAAATAGTGCAAGGTACATCACGGAAATTTTGTCAGAGCATGTGGTCCCTTTCGCTGGGTATATTGGGGATAATTTTTTACTAATGCAAGATAACGCCAGACCACACACTGCGAGAATAGTGCGAGATTATTTGAATGAGGTGGATATTGAGACTCTGGACTGGCCTTCACGCAGTCCAGATCTCAATCCTATAGAACATTTATGGGATCAAATTGGTAGGCAGCTTAGAGATCATCAACCCCTACCTGTGTCTTTGAATGATGTAGAAAACTTTGTTCGAGAAATTTGGATTAATATCGATCAAGAACAAATAAGACGTCTGGTTCAAAGTAGGGGTCGTCGATGTCAAGCGGTAATAGAGAGTAGGGGAAGAAACACCCGATATTGAATGTTTTTTTTTCCACATTATTTTTTCAATAATTTTATTTTTGTTTTGTTAACTTCCGAAACTTTTTCTTGAATAATCTCAAATAAACGCTTTTAACTTCAAACTCCATATTTCATTAAATAACAGAGCTAGAAACGTGAATAAAAAAACAAAATGCTCAGAAAAGATGGGGCTATGTTTTCATTTAGATAGACATCTATTGGTGCAGATGGAAAGTCCCACAGGATGTGACAAAAATTAGGCATCAAACTGGTTTCTTTTAAAACACCCTGTATATGCCTAAAACTTCGATTCAAATGAAAAGTTGTTTTACAGAGTCATTCCTGAAGATTTAAGCTACAATTTAAAAAAAAATATGTCCAAATCGATTCAGCAGTTTCCGAGAAAATTAAATTTGAAATTGTGCCAAATTTTAGTGGTGCGTTAATTTTGATGCGTATATTCGGATAACTGAATAAATTCTCTTCTAAGTTAAAAAATGTATTACAAAACAATAATTCCGAAGTTGCTCCATGAATTAATCTATGACATAACTTTTTCTCTAAGTTATGACGTCATCGATGACGTAAGTAAAAACTTGCGTGCCGTGTTTGAAATTTCAGACATAAAAAAATCAATTTTTTTTAAAAAAAGGCAAATGATGACGTAAGTACAAACCCTCGTGAAACCAACTTTTCACGCGTCTCATTTTCTTTCCATCAAACTCCAAAAAAAAAAAAAAAAACAAAAAATGGTGCTGCAACACCCCTCAAATTTGCTTGTCTCCCCACTCTCCCCCCCCTCGTTTTTCAAAAAGTTGAAAAATCCTTATGCTACTAGGTTCACCTAATTTTGCACAACTTTGCACACCTATTTTCAAGTTTCGCAAAATGTGCAGATATGGTTCAATCTGCAACTGTCTCAATTTGACAGTTGACACCTGTCATTAGCGGTCTAAAACCTTCTTATTATTATTGCCTTTCATATTAAACATTAAACTGGTTTAAGGCACATCGATCGGATAGTTTCAAAGTCTATAACGGGCATAGGTAGACACACAGACAGACAGATAGAAACAATTTTTGTGTTTTATTCCTCTATTTATTAGTAACAGAAAATTACTACCCACAAAAATACATAACTATTTACCTATTTATTATTTTTTTTAAATTATAAAATATTCCTATTCTATGGTAGGTATATGTATAATAAGTACCTATATAAAACACAAAGGCATTTAATTTGTTATACAAAAGAAACTTGGCAACGCAGCCTAGCAAATAGACGTGCATTTAGTGCCTCAAATTAATTTAATCGCAGAAACGACTGATTTTACTAGGACACTAGCGCCATCACGCAGGTTTATATTTTCGCCGCCGGACGGTTCTTCTAGAGACGTTAGTCTATAATATTCTTTGGTTGTATCGAGTTGTATTTTTACACTTTTTGCTCTGGGTTACACTTTTTTACACTTATTATTACTTGAGAATAGTGATTAGAAAAATCGTACTATTTCAACGATATACCTGATCAATACTGAAATAGTAACAAATTGAAAGGTGGCGGTGGGGTGAAATTGAAAATATTAAGCAATGGATGTTTCTTTTGATGTTCCTAAGGAGTTATTTAAGCGCAAGATCAAAAAACAACTTATTTGTGAGAGCTATTTTCGTGGATATTTTGCACGATATTTTATTTAATTTTATTAAGATTCCCATAAGCAGCATATAGGGGTTGTTTCTGGGTAGGGAAGTTTTTTGTTGTTATGGTGTGATTATCGTTGTTGGGTTTATTGGGAATTATCTCGGAAACTATTAATTATGGGATACTTTTTTTACAGATGAGTGATACTGGTGAACCCGGGAATGGGGATGTTTTTGAAGAGGCGGAAAGGGCACTTAATATTAAAATACCAGAAATTTTGAAAAACTTATTGAATAGCTGTGGCTATGAAAATGAAGCTTTAATAGCTGGAATGACCAAAGCAACTATAACAGAAATAGAAAAGTTTGCGAGGACTGATTTATTTCAGCTCATCGATGAGGAAGATCGAGCAAAATACTATGGAATATATAGCAAAAATCCTAAAATTTACAAAATGCTACCCGCACACCAACAAGTCCTACTTTGGATGATCGAACATTTCAAAAAGAAAAGAAAATCACACAAAAAAGAAATTCAAGCATCTGCGCCAAGCGAAGCGCCAGCTAATCGAGAAGGGTCCCCTAAGAAGAGGTCAAAAACTTCTGTTGAATCTTCAGAATTGTTGAGTGACGAATCCCAAGAGGAAGAACTTCATCCCGAGAACAATGCTAGGGAGATTACCAATCAGAAACCTGTCGTGAACCGAGCTGTGAACTTGACAGACGAGAATGCTTTGATTTTTCGAAATTTGAAGAAATGGGCAAAATCAAAAGCAAAAGCCGATTTATGGGAAACGCTTCCGCATAAATTCGATGATATTAAAATTGTAACTTCACTCGACCAACAAGAGATGTTCTCGAAAGTAACCTGCTTCTGTAACGCGACATACAAACTCCCCAAAATACTTAAACCTGGGAAAAAGCAGAAAAGTTGGATTTACTCAAATTTTCATACACACTTCATGACTAAACATTTCAAAACACCAACCACCTCGGCATTTGATGTATCGACAGAAATTTCAGCACGTCCTCAACAACAGTCCATCACTTCCTATTTGGTAACTAATGATCACGAGATTAATCCTATCCTGAATAAAAAGTCATCAAAAGTTAAAATTCTTGGTAACGTCGTTTTATCTCCTTCCCGAGCTCCTGCCTCACATTCCACCAATACTTTGCCGAAAAAACTGTGTGATGTTTATCTAGACTCAAGGTTTCAATCCGCTATGAGCACTGCTTTCGGCACGGCTTCTGGTACCCTCTCAGAGGCAAACAGCAGCGACCCCACCGAGGACCACACCGGTCTCTTTGAAGCTAACGATAGGTGCTTAGACAGTATTGATGAATCAACGAATACCTCATCGAATCAACTGTGCAAAATCGACAACCAAGATATGGATAAAGTACCATCAAAATGGAAAAGACAGAAATATCAGAGGCATGAAAGAGTGAGACGAGCTAGAGAAAACTTATTAGACGACCAAAGTTTAATCACGAATTACTTTTTTATTGCTGAAAAAGTGAGTGAAGTAGTAAGTAGAAATAGTGGACTAGCTGATGAACTTTTGGAGAACATAAGTGAAATAGAAACTGTCCAAAACACTGATAATTCTGTGTCTGAGTTACCGCGATTACTCAAAACATTGCAGGATTTATCACTCAAGAATTCCACTTGCTCAAACAATAGAAACAGATACGATGATGCTACAAAAAAATTCGCAGTATACCTGTTTTATATTGGGGGGAGGTTACTTTATGAAACACTAAAGGCAAATTTAGAGAATAGTTTACCTTCAATTTCTACCCTAAATAGATTCTTGGACACTAGAAACGAGCCTCTACAAGAAGGAGGATTTGATTTTAAAGGCCTATTAAAACACTTAACTGATCGAGGTTTACCAAAAATGATTTGGGTATCCGAGGATGGCACTCGCGTAACAGGCAAAATTGAATATGACAGCAAATCTAATAATGTAATAGGATTGGTTTTACCATTGAGGGATGGTCTGCCTCAACAAGGTACGTTTCCTGCCACTTCTGCTGAAGCAATCAAGGCATATTTTCAAACCGGAGTAAAAGCAACATATGCTTATGTAATAATGGCACAACCGTTACATGTTGGGGCATCAACATACTGCTTGTCCTTATTCGGAACTGATAATTCATTCACTACTGAACAGGTCACTTTGAGATGGGAATGGATGAAGAAGGAAGCTAAAAAATTTGGCATCACAATTATGGGATTTTCCTCAGATGGCGATACTCGCCTTCTCAGAGCTATGCGCTTAAATACTGATTTGATTTCCCGTTTAGCTCCTGAATATAAGGAAAGAAACCAAACAAACCCAGAAGATACAGAGGTACTTGATTCATTGCCAGATTGGGAGTGGTACCACTGCAGCATTGAAAAAAATGAAGAATGTTATGTACAGGACACCATCCATATTTTAACAAACATGCGTACTCGTTTCCTAAAACCTGGAATAAATTTGCCAATTGGGAAATATACTGCCACCTCTGATCATCTTAGACAGTTGATCTTGAAGGTTTCAAAAGACAAACATCTTCTAACAGATTCTGATCTCAGAAGTGAAGACAAGATGAATTTCGCATCGGCAGAAAAAATGTGCAGTAATTGAACAACTGAAAAAAGAAATTCCACAAAGTGAAGGTAGTGTGGCGTATCTTAAACTTATGTACTACGTCGAATCGGCGTTCCTAAATTCCAACACAGATTTGCGTACTAGACTATAATATGACATCTGGTATGTTGTATTTTTTACCAGAATCTGGAGATCCTGGCTTAAATCAGAAAAAAAATATAAAATAACAGACAACTTGTTGACAAGTAACTGTTACCTTTGTATCGAGATTAACGCCCATGCTTTAATTAAACTAATACTCAAGCTTAAAAGCGGTGAGTTGAAACCAGAGATGTTCAGCATCAATATTTTCGGTAGCCAAGCATGTGAATCCTTATTTCGAGCTGCTAGGTCCATGACCTCTACATATTCCACAATAATTAATTTTAGTATAAAGGATATGCTGAACCGAATTGAGAGAATTAAGACAACAATTGATACCATAAACGATCTGAGGGGGACTTTCACATTTCCAAGGGAAGAAAAAAGATTAAAAGACAGACTGATGAAAGAAAATTTACCACGTGAAGATGAAATTCTCAATTTGGATATCAAAGCTATAATTGAAGAAGCTCTACAAAATGTCATAGAGGACATGAGATATTTCGGCCTCAATGCAAAAGAAAACGATTGGAAATTTATGCAGGTACCATTGATAAAACGGAAACAAAATATCGGAGTTACACAGGAGAACGTAAACATGAACGAAGACGACGTTGAAGTTGGCGAGAACTGTGAAGAAAATGAAATTGACCATGATGTGGCAAACACAAATAATATTAGTGATGAGAGCAATATAGTTATGAACGAGGTTATGGACTTAATTTCGGAGAATATTTCCTCGGAGATTTCTAATGAAGATGGCGAAGGTGATACTTTGGAAACGGGTTCTATAAATTTAAAAGACTTTTCCGGAAAAGTGCATGTTGTATCGGAAAAATCACCGTATATTGAAGTAGTTATCGGTAAAAAAACCTCAATTATCAAAAAGTCGTCGTACTGCTGGCTTTTAGATCAGTCCAACGGTAGAGTAAGCACTGACCGATTAAAAAGATTTATAGGCAGTACAAGGAAAGCACCTCGGAAAACACCTGAGAAATCAGCTTCCAAAAACTCCGAGCCAACCTTGAAAAAGACTAAACAGAAGCTACCCATGGATCAAGCTAGTGGCACAAGCACTGACTCATCCACTGATTGGGACGTGATGGAATTAGACGACTCCGATGATTTGGAAGAGTTTTCAGATGAGATGTTGCCGTGTCAATCAGAAAATTTATCGGAAACTGCCGTACCGGAGATACATTTAGAAAACTATTATGCGGTTTTCTATGACCAATCATGGTTCATTGGTCGAATAATTGAAGATAAAGGAAACGCATATTATAAAATAAAGTTTCTGAAAGCAGAGCTCGACACATTTATTTGGCCCCGAAAAGAAGACATTGATACCGTTTATAAAGATTTTATTTTCTACGGACCTATTAATTTAATTGGTGGAGGCCCATTCGAGTTAAAACGGGCAGACCAAGTTAATATTAAGAGCAGGTATAAGGTATAAGGCATTTAAAAAACAATAATTTTTTATTTTTTTCCAATATTGTTATATGTAGGTACCAGAAACAATCTTTAGTTTTATAATACAAATAACGGGTATTCTTATTTTCTTTTATAAGTTTTTTGATGTGAGAATAAATTGTTCATCTTTTCCAGCTTTTTTATTTTAATACCTACTGCAAACCCAGATATTTAGGCTTGATTTATTTAACACCATATTATGTTGGCCAAGTTTACGTGGTGGATTTGGTGAATTAGTGAGGAATTAGTAAAATTAGGGGAATTACAAGGGAATTAGTGGGAATTAGAGGGGAATTAGAAGGGAATTAGAAGAAATGAGAGGAATTAGAGGAATTAGTAACAATCCTGGGAATTAGTGTACACATTTTTTTCAGCGGTTTACCCCTCGTCTATGATTTACTTTTTTTTGAAAACCTGTTACAAATCTTGCAGATGTGTGTACAATAATTGTTATGGTCGTACTTGGCTGAGATTCTCTTTTTCTATCATGAAAGTAGGTTTGTATGGTTTGATCGTTAGAAATACGAGGGTGGTTAAATGAGACAATAGTTGCGCATTTTGATGCTCAACAAAAGGCTTTTTTAAAATTTGAGAAATTCCCAATACTTCCGCAAATATCCAGAAAATTCCGAAAATTGCAATTCTGGTTTTTATTTTTTTCAGGATTTATTTTAAGAGATCCAGGAAAAACAAGTTACCTTTCTTGAACCACTTTTGTCTGGACTTTAATTTGATGATATTATTTTAGAAATTCGACGTTTCGGTTTACCAATGCCATCATCAATCTATTTTTTTATAATACGGACCTAGATTTTTTTTTTTACATAATTTGTTTTGTTTTGATATTCTGAAATACGTTATATAAGGTTCGTTCCAACCCAGCGAAAAACCGTACAATGTACGGTCACGGTCATGCGCCATAGGTTAAACGCGTTCCAACCGAGAGATGATCGTTTACTGTACAGTTTCGTTGGCGTTCCAACCAAACCTGGGATCGTTCGAGAACTGGTTTTAGCACCGTCATTTCGATCCCGAGTGGAAAGCAAGAACCGCGTGGACTGATTCATGACTGACATGCGTAATTCAATTTTTCTCACCTGTTGTTGTTCATGTTGTTGTTAAACAACCAATTTGTGTGTGTGTGTGCGTATGTCTCAATGGCTCTGGCGGAAGCCAACTGGCCAGCGTCTCTCATTGTATTATATTTTTTCTACTGACATTTCATAATACGCTATTAAACGATTAAAATCTGTATCATAATGAACTTCATTACGATACAGATTTTCATTATAATACTTAATATTATACAATGTAGATAGATGGCAGCACTAGTTAAGATATTAAACATTTTAAACGGTGATTTTGCCTAAAACAATTATTTTGATAACTATAAAAAAGACTCCGAATTGTTTAAAAGTTACCTTAAGTTTGGGACAAAGAATAATTATTATGGAAATCATGAATGATAACGAAGAATTTTTACTTTCTTCATTATTATACATTGTCAATAGATGGCGCCACCAGTTAAAAAAATTTGAATTTTTTTTTTTTTGAATTTTGACAGCACTCTGTTTATAGCTTTTCCATGGTAATTTAGCGAAAAACAATAATTTTATAAAAAAAATACTTCAAATTGTTATTAAAAGTTAATACCTAAAGTTTGGGAGAAAGCATTATTATGGAAATATTGAGCGATAACGAAGAATTTTCACTAACACCTCCAGAAATTACAGAAAGGGCGACAAATGCAGTTAATAATATACTACCGGACAAGTCCAAGAAAATTTACGAAAAATTATATGGACAATTTATGGATTGGAGAAACACCAAAAATACATCATCCTTCTCAGAAAATGTTTTGATAGTATATTTTAAAGAGTTACAAGAAAAAATGAAACCTTCAACTGTATGGACGCATTACTCAATTAAAATCCCTATTCAAAGTTAAGCATAATGTTGACATATCTAAATATCATCAAGTTTTATCAATGGCAGTAGAAAAAATAGTGTATGCAACTCTCATGTAATGGCCATTAATGCACTCGCATGTTATATACGAAACTCGCCTGCGGCTCGTTTCGTATCCTACAACATGCTCGTGTATTAATGGCTATCATTACATGATCATTGCATAATATACTATTATTTCACTTTTTATTTTATTTTTTATTTGAATGAAAATTTTTTTAATTATGCATAATTTTTTTTTTTTTTTAAACTTTCTGAACTGTTTACTGAGATTTCGGGAATTTTACATAACTTTTGAGAACTCTATCCTCTATTCCTACATATTGCATTTAAATGTTTTTTTTTTTTTTTTTTATACAATCATGTGCTACTAAATTTTAATATTTGAGTCTAACATAAATTTGTACAATCTTCTATATACATTGAGGTTATTTGAGGAGAGCAGTACGTTCAAATTAATAGGAAATTGAATTAGTTTGGCTAGGTCATAGAATAGCTCTCCTATGTATCTTTCATGTATAGGGCAATCGAGAATAAAGTGGTTTAGATCTCCTGGTTCTGAACATTCGCAGATGTCATTATTTTTTAGTCCTATTTTTTTCATATGTTCAGGAAACAGGGCGTGCTGGCTTCTTAATCGGGAGATGGTCCTTATGAAATGTCGATTTGTTTCTGTGTGAAACCAGGGTTTTTTATTTATGTTAGGAAACATTTCTTTGAAATGAATTCCTTTGTTAGATGCTAGATATTGTTCCTTCCAACTATATACAGGGTGTATATTTTAAGTGATACCACTATTGCTATATCCGAAACGGTAAGAGCTACAGGGTTGGTTAAATTAGAAAAAAGTTGCCTTGTTTGATGCCCATTTAAGACTCGTTTACAGTGTTGCCAAATTTCTTTTAGTTTATGAAATACAGGGTGATTTCTAAGAAACGTCCAAAAATATTTCATCATTTATTTCGAAAACTATTGATTTTTGAGACACAATTTAAATTTGAAAGTTTTATAATTTTTTCCGCTCTACAACATGACATCTTCAAATTTTAAATCCGACGTTTCGTGATCGAGAAAACATCATCAACTTCATTTTTTTAAATACGGACCTGGATTTTTTATGTAATTTTTAGGAAGCGCCCTTAATTCTCTTTCCAAAAATGACATAAAAAATCGACGTCCGTATTTAAAAAAATGAAGTTGATGATGGTTTCTCAATCACGAAACGTCGGATTTAAAATTTGAAGATGCTATGTTGTAGAGCGAAAAAAATTATAAGACTTTCAAATTTAAATTGTGTCCCGAATATCAATAGTTTTCAAAATAATTGACAAAATAATTTTAGGCCTTTTTTATAAATCGCCCTGTATTTCATAAACTGAAAGGACTTTGGCAACACTGTAAACAAGTCTTGAATGAGCATCAAAAAAGGCAACTTTTTTCTAATTTAATCGACCTTGTAGCTCTTACCGTTTCGGATATAGCCATAGTGGTATCACTTAAAATATACACCCTGTATATTTCTCATTTTTGACTTTCTATATAGATCTGTGTGTGGAAGATAAAAATTTTGGGAAAAGGTTTCAATTTCAGTTGCTTGTTTAGCTATAGCCCATCTACGATTTCGTTTTCTAATATCCCTATATGAGATTTGACCCACACTAATTTGACGTTTTGGTTTTGATTTCTAAGGTCATTGAAACTGTTTATGATATTTGAAACAATATAATTGGAGGGAACTTTGAACTTACAATCTTTTATAGCCATAAGTGAGCTTTTACTATCTGTGAAAATTACAAAGTTGTCCTTATCACTTTGTAGACAATACAAGAGCGATTCCCAGATAGCCCAAAGTTCTGCCGAAAAAATCGAAGCTCCATCCAACAATCGAAATTGTTCTGATCTATTTTTGTTCCTGTGGTGAAACGCATATCCCGTTTTATTATTTTTTAGAGAGCCGTCAGTGAATATTTGTTCTGAATGAGACATAGTACTGATTTTTTCTAGAAATAATGCTTTTTGGATCATTGGATTATCTGATTGATTATTGTTTATTATAATTTCAGGAATATTTTGGTGATAATTATCATTTAGTTGAAAATATGGGATTAATTTGTTAGAATGGATGTTTTCTTTTGTTTGGGTTATCCAGGAATAGCTAATTACAAGAGGAATCGGCTTTTTGTGTTTCCAATAATTGTATAATTGTGGGTATAGTTATATACAGTTAGTTTATGTATTGTGTCTACCAAGTGGCTATTTTTAGCGATGAGTTTTAACATTAATTTATCACTGAGAAAATTCCTTCTCAGCGAGAGGGGTGGCTCTACGGCTTCAGCCTGTATGATTGTGGTGGGCGTGCTTTGCAGATATCCTATGCAGAGACGAAGACATTTGTTTTGTATAATTTCAATTTTTTTTGTATGTGTTTCTGTCGCTGCTCCGTAAAACTGACATCCGTAGTCCAATACAGATCTGACATAGGAGCGATAAAACATTAATGAGGTATTTGGGTCTGCTCCCCATTTTTGGTGACTGAAAACTCTTATGATATTTATAGCGTTTTCAGTTCTCTTTGTAAGTTGATGGATATGGTCTTTCCATAGAAACTTTTTATCCAGAGTAATTCCTAAATACCGAACTGTACTTTTGTATGGGATTTCAATGTCGTTGGACATTTTTATCGAGTTAGGAAAATTTGTTCTCTTTCTGGTAAATGTGCATAGGACTGATTTTTCTTTAGACATCGTTAAGCCGTTATTGTTACACCAGTTCAGCGTCCTCTCAAAATTCTGTTTGATTTTATTGTTGGCATCTTCGATTTTAATACTTTTTGTGAAAATGCACACATCATCGGCATACTGTACAATTTTTGTGTTGGCGTCTAGGACTGTTTCTAAATCAAACGTATATATTGTATACAAAATTGGACTAAGAATGCTGCCTTGTGGAAGTCCAATATTTGTCATTCTTGGCTGAGATAAACCTTCCTGTGTTCTTATGTAGATTAAGCGGCAA